AAGGAGTGTACCTCAAAATTGTAAAGGCAAAATGACAAACCTGTTGCCAACATTATACTTAATGGAGAAAAACTGAAACCATTTCCCCTAAAATCAGGAACAAGACAAGTGTTCCCAGTATCCCTACTCCTATTCAATATAGTACTGGAATTCCTAGCCAGAGCAATTGGGCAAGAAGAAGAAGTAAAAGGAATACAAATAGGTAAAGAAACTGACAAAATATCCCTATTTACAGTTGACATGATCCTATACATTAAAGACCCAAAAAACTCTACCCAAAAACTCTTAGACACCATAAACAGCTACAGCAAGTTGGCAGGATACAAAATCAACTTACAAAAGTCATTAACTTTCCTATACACCAACAATGAACAAACTGAGAAAGAATATATGGAAACAATTCATTTACAATAGCCACACAAAAAAAATCAAATATCTAGGAGAAAACTTAACAAAGGATTTGAATGATCTCTACAAAGAGAACTACAAATCCCTATCAACATAGTAAAAAAAAATTGCTTTACCAAAAGCAATCTACATGTTTAATGCAATTACCATCAAAATCCCAATGACATTCATCGCAGAGATTGAAAAATATACCTTAAAGTTCATTTGGAAACACAAGAAATCATGAATAGCCAAGGAAATACTCAGCAAAAATAGCAATGCTGGAGGTATCACAGTACCCGAATTCAAACTATGGTGTAGAGCCATAGCAATAAAAACAGCGTTGTACTCACAGAAAAACAGATATGAAGAACAGTGGAACAGAATAGAGGACCCGGATATGAATCTATATAGCTATGCCCACCTTATTTTTGACAAAGGCACCAAAGACATATGATGGAGAAAAGACAGCCTCTTCAACAAATGTTGCTGGGAAAAGTGGTTATCCAGATCCCCGTTTATCATCTTGTACTAGTATCAACTCAAAATCGATCAAGGACCTAAATATCAGACCTGAAACTCTGAAGTTAGTACAAGAAGGAGCAGGAAACACTCTGGAAGTAATAGGTATAGGCAAGGAGTTCCTCAATAGAACCCCAGTGGCCCAGGAACTAAGAGAAAGTATGGACAAATGGGACTTCATAAAATCAAAAAGTTTCTGCACAGCAAAAGAAATGGTCTGTAAACTGATGAGAGTACCCACAGAGTGGAAGAAAATATTTTCCAGCTATACATCAGACAAAGGACTGATAACCAGAATATATAGGGAACTCAAAAAACTAAAACTCCCCCAAAATCAATGAACCAATAAAGAAATAGGCAACTGAACTAAACAGAACATTTTCAAAAGAAGAAATTCAAATGGCCAAAAAACACATGAAAAAATGTTTACCATCTCTGGCCATAAAGGAAATGCAAATCAAAACCACAGTCAGATTCCACCTCACTCCTGTTAGAATAGCCATCATCAAAAACATCACTACCAGCAGGTGTTGGCGAGGATGTGGGGAAAAAGGAACCCTTGTACACTGCTGGTGGGAATGCAAGCTAGTGAAACCACTCTGAAAAAATATGGAGGCTTCTTAAAAAACTAAACATAGATCTGCCATATGATCCTACTCCTAGGGTTATACCCAAAGGAATGCGACTCAGGTTACTCCAGAGGCACCTGTACACCCATGTTTATTGCATTGGTATTCACAATAGCCAAGTTATGGAAACAGCCAAGATGCCCCACTACTGACAAATGTATTAAGAAAATGTAGTTTTTATACACAATGGAATTTTACTCAGCCATGAAGATGAATGAAATCTTATCATTCGCAAGTAAATGGATGGAACTGGAAAACATCATCCTGAGCAATGTTAACCAGGATCAGAAGACCAAAAATCATATGTTCTCCCTCATATGCAGACTTTTAGCTCTAGGGCCTAGGCAGTAATGCTGTTGGACTTGGGTCACACACTAAGGGGAGAGCACATATGGGAGGTACAGGGATAGGTAGTGAACCCAAATCTTGAAAGTGTTTGATGTCCCCACTGTAGAGGAGCTAATACAGAAACCTCAAAGTGACAGAGGTTGATATGGGAAGGTGACCAGGAAGTAGTGAAGAGGTCAGGTAGAGATGAATCAATGTGGGTTGTAATACATTTGTGCATGGAAGCAATGCTTGAAATCTCTCTGTATATCTATCCTTATCCGAACTAGCAAAAACGTGTTGTCTTTCTTATTAAGACATATGTCTTATGTCTTCTCTTCAACAGAATTGGGGAAAAGGGAAGAACAGGTTCTTCCTGGAAGTGAAGGGGGTGGGAGGAAGAAGGAGTGGGCAGAGGGCAGGGGGAGAAATGACCTAAACAATGTATGCACATATGAATATATGAATAGGGGAAAAAAAACCCTCTGTGTTCTTAAATCACTCCTTTTATTTCTGGCATATTAGATGTTCCAGGATCATTTTGTATTTTCCTTCCCCAGCCCTGGAAACAATAATTTCTCCACGAAATAATATAAGGGCATGAATGGAAGTAAAATTTATGAATTTGGAACATGATGGAAAGAATAAGTGGCTGATAATGTAACTACTTGATGTAGTGAGTTGGCTTATTTTCTTTAGATTCTTTTGAAATGCTTCACCAAACCATTGGATAATTCCTTACATTATCCCTCTATACCAACTATCAATAAAATTTGTATTTTGGTAGTTTTAATGTATAATTTGATGTGGAAATTGATAAGTGTTCAAAATTTGGGATAGAGGGGGGAAATATGTAACTCTGTGTGAAAGATATGGTTCAGAGAGATAAAGCAAATGGACAGAACAAATATATGTAATTTTCATATTTGACCTTCACATAAGTACCTTGTTTAGACTTCTATATTCTGATGGCCCAGGGATCATTTCCCAATAGATCTTAAGTCTTTATATTCTCCAACTCATCAACAAAAGGAATAAGGCAGAACTGATTCACCTCCTTGAGGTAGGAGAGAGTTGATGACTGCTATCTTTAACTGGTGGAGTGTAGTTTCTTTATTGTTTCATCTACTTTCATCTTTGTTGACAGAACTGCACACACACTCATTTTTTATAAATTTTTATTGATCTATACAAATATAGATAAAATCCAACACTTAAGATTTTAAAAATCATATATATGTAGTTTTGTGTAGAAAATGTTACACCATACTTACACAATTAGTTTAAAGTTATAAAAGAAATCAAATTACATTTTCTATTATGTTCATTCATACTTCTCATGGATACTATTTTGTCATTTTTCCTCCTCAATGTAACCTAGAACAATTTTTATAAACTAATAGGCAATTCTTAAAGCTTTCAGGGCCTCCATAGAAGGAGACAGAGGCTAAACATGACAGTAACAATTCATTATGAAGTTGATTTTATTTTGGGAGAAGTAATCCATAACTAAATTTGTCTGGGGAAGTTTGGGAAATTTCTTCCATGTCCTTTCACCACAAACAAAACTTACCTTTTTTCTCACCTTTTGGAAGGCAGTTATTGTGTGCCAAATCAACTTAATTGGTAAAGTTTTTATGATTTGATAACATTCATAATATCACTACATGTAACTATGTATCACTGCATATATATCATTGTTATTGTAAAGAATTACTATATTTTAATGTGCTGAAGGAAATACGCTTTGATGTACATTTTTCTTATATACAATTGTCAGTTTATTCATCTTTTTATAAAAATGCTATTTGTTCTTATTTTTGGTCTTCATTTATTGATTCAGAGTAAATTCAAGAATCACTCATAAAGTTTTGCTTGGTCAAAAAAGAATTATTTAAACAATGAAAATCTCAGAATATAAATGATCTTTAGTGAATGCAATTTCTTGATTACTTTTAAAGTTAGGATTTTACATTTTATCTAATATTTAGGTCCTTATACTAGAAGATAAATATTCAAATCTTCCAATTATTTGAGATAATCTCAAATAATTCTCAATAGAAACAAAAGTCATTACCTGATAATTAAATATTCAAGGTTAAATTCATTAAGTTTTGGGTCTGTAATGACTTAAAGAGTTGTTTTGTCATATTGCAAGTAGTTACCTGGTATTTTTAAATAAAAACATTTCTGTGTTATATTTGTGCATAATTTTTAAATTTTCACATTCTTTTTTGATACTCGTTATAAATTATACTAGATAATATAGTCAGACATAGATACCTATAATTTCATTTAACAAATAAGTTCATATTGTTGGTAAGTAATTCAGATTATTCCTTAATATAACACAAATTTTAACCTAACAATATATTACTTCATAGCATGTTATAACCCTAAAAATATTAATGTATTTGATTATTATAATTAAATTGTGAAGTTTTGACAAAATACTATTTTCTCCAAATTAGAAATTGCTCATGGTACAGTATTAGGAACACTGAGAGTTCCCTAATATAATTCTACTATATAATAAATTTTCTTAACTTAGCAAAAACTGACCTTTTGTCCATGTTAAATAATTTTGGAATTTTTACCTTGACAAAGATAAAACATTTGTGTTACTTATTATATATTATGAAAAAGTCTAATATATATAGTGAAACTCCTGTTAAATTAAATGGAAACTGTAGATTTTGAGTATGAAAAAGCATTATTTGAGTAATATCTCTTCACGTCTGATGATGGAAAATACTAAAAAGAAATGTTTTTTAAAAAGATGGAGAAACAGCTATTATTGATTGGGTTTGTCAGAAAAAAATGTATAGAGAACTGAACTTGAGTTGATGTTTTAATAACTTGTAGTATGTTGGTGGGCAGATCATGTATACAGCAAAATAGCACAATCAGTGCTGAGATTATTTTGAGTCAGCAAAGTAATGTACATTTTTTCTGGTTTGCTTAGGTATAATTAATTTTCAAAATAAAGTGTAACAATGATTTAGAGTTTGAAAGTTTGCCTTTATTTGTTTATTGGACCTTGTTTTATATTTCAATTAAAATTTGAAGCCTTCAGTTTTATTTCAAGCTTTATCATTATTGCTGTTCTCTACTTTGACTTTCCTGAAGTTAATTATGGGAAATTTAACATCAGTGACAGAATTCATTCTTCTTGGACTGACAGATGATGTCATGTTTCAAGCTGTGCTTTTCCTTTTTCTGCTTCTAACTTATTTCTTAAGTATCACAGGAAACTTGACCATCATCATTCTGACCCTACTGGATCATCGCCTTCAAACTCCTATGTATTTCTTCCTCCGAAATTTTGCAATTTTGGAACTATCTTTTACCTCTGTCTTTGTTCCCCAAACACTAGTCAATATTGGAAGTGGAGACAAGACTATCTCCTTTGCTGGGTGCTTCACTCAGTATTTTTTTGCAATCCTTCTGGGAGCAACCGAATTTTACCTTTTAGCTGCCATGTCTTATGATCGCTACATTGCCATTTGTAGACCCCTGCATTACACAGCTGTAATGAGCAAGAGACTTTGCATTCAACTTGTCTTAAGTTCCTGGTTTTCTGGTTTTGTGGTTGTCATTGTGCCACATATAATGACTCTTCATCTGCCTTCCTGTGCATGCAATGTCATCAATCATTATTGCTGTGACTACAATATATTGTTACATTTGTCCTGTTCAGATACACATAGCATAGAAGTAGCTCAGTTTGTCCTTGCTGCGGTGACCCTCATCTTTACCTTGTTTTTGGTGATTCTTTCTTACACCCACATTATCAGGACCATTCTGAGAATCCCTTCCGTTCAACAGAGAAAGAAAGCTTTTTCTACATGTTCCTCTCACATGATTGTGGTCTTACTTTCTTATGGAAGCTGTATCTTTATGTATATAAATCCTTCTGTTAAGGATGCAGCAAATTTTATTAAAACAGTGGCTGTTTTAAATACCTCAATTGCCCCTCTGTTGAACCCCTTTATCTATACTCTAAGGAACAAGCAAGTGAAAATAGCCTTCAAAGATATGGTAAGTAAAATGATAAGTTTGTCAGAAAAGTGAAGCTCTTTGAGGCTCATTATTAAAATGAATGCTTAGGAGACCATAGTTGTATATACTTGTATTTAAATAATTTTCTACATTATATAGTTAGTATTCCTAGTTATACACTGATGTAGTAAAACTACTTATTTAATCAAAAAAATTTTCATTTTGCTCCTTAAAAGTATCCAGGCCCCCCTCTCTTTCTCTCTCTCTGTGTGTATGTGTGTCCCCTCTAACACTTGATTGCTATTTTTCTTTTTTTAGTACAATTTTTAAAGAAAAGCCTTAGAACAAAGTTAGGATTGAAAATATGACTTTTAATAATTTATTTTTGTAAAAATTGATTTTAAAATATCTTAACCCATAGTCTTTGTTTCAATGCTTATAACTTAATTTGCATGCTAGCAAAATTTATCCTTAAGTTTTAATAAAAGCTGAAATAATATATTGGTAAATTGGTATAAAGGTTGTTATTTTCAAATTAAAAAAATCAAATTTAAATTGATTCTCATCACAAGAATAACTGAGTACTTGGGCATACTCTATTTGAGGTAAAAATGCTCCAGTGAAAAGAAAATCATGTTTGTTTTAATACTGATGGACAATGCTAAATGATGATTTATGAACAGGTCAAACTCATTGAGCTCATCCTTGAAAGAGATGAAGGCTTGGTTCAAGCTAAGATAATCAGAAATTTATCTTCCTAGCAAATTTCATACAGTTTTGTGTTGTGCCTGGCAATTGTTCTATTTCTCATTTAAAAAGATTGTGAAATAAAGTCATATTAATATTATTCATGGTGTTAATGATTTCGTAGACTTCAATCTTATTCCTTCTAAATCTTTTTCTCCTTATAGTAAATTTTATGTTTGTAACCTGGTTTCCATAGAGATTCTACCCCAAGTAAAAGTGGCCATTTTTAGAACACATTTTGTTGATACTAATATTTTAGAATTCATGAACAATATTTATAACATGAATGTCTAAAAATTTCAATAGTCTATAGATATTTATACTCCAATCCTTTAAATATTCACATGAAGAAAAGTAAGTTCTAGAGATGTTAACTAACTTTTACTAAAGTTCATAGGTGGTTAGTGTCAAACTTACGTTTTGAATTCTATACTGTTCCATTGGGTAATAATGGAGAAGTCAGTGTATAGTAAAGATACAAAAAGAATGTTGCTGGAAATCATAGAAGATAGACTTGATTTAAGATGTAGAATTTAAGAGTTCCTAAATGGAGAGCCAGCCATAAATTACATAAAATCATCTAACTAACTGATGTTAGTGAGTTAACTTGTTACTTTGTGATTCTGACAGACAGGTGGGTAATTGAGTCATGAGTTCATTCATTGATTTATCTAGTTTTAAACACCATTATCAGTACATTAAATGTAGACATCTAAAACATTCTTTAACTATTTGGTTGCTCAATTTTAAGAGACAGATTAAGGAATTAAAAATAGGCATTTTAATAACAGATATTAGTCTTTTAAAACACACAAGCACATGCACACACACAAGTATACATTTTTAAAACCAACTCAGAGCAGCCTATTTAGTGCATAATGTATGCATGTACTTAAATATCCCACTGAATCCCACTAATATGCCCAATGAAAGCATTAATCAAAAATAAAATCAGGCAAATTGGACTTTTACCTGGAGGAAACTAGTAGCTAATAAAAATTGCAGGAATATGAATTAACATACCATTATATCACCTTTTTTAGTCAGGGATTTTCCTAGTCTACAAAACAGTAATAAATGATATTAAAAATTATATGAATGTTGTGTTTCACCTTCAAAATTAGAAAAATATTAAAATGATGATTACATTTCTATGCTAAACATTTTTTCTGTGAGTCTTTAAAATCAGCAATATATATCTAATGCATAATCTTATTATTCACAAAATCAAATAAATGATATATTTCACTGTGGGAGTGTTTGAGTTAATATTAACATTTCTATATGATTCCAGAATTTCTCTCAAATGTGTTTAACTTTGACAATATCCTGAAAACTCTTCTTTGCAAAGTGGTTTCTATTAGAGCTCTGAAGTGCTAATGATTATGGGAGGAAAGGTCAAGTTTCAATCAATAGAACTACTTCTAATAAAAAATAGTGGAGCCAGGCACCAGTGGCCTATGCTTGTAATCCTAGCTACTTAGAAGACTGAGATCAGGAGGTTGAAGATTCAAAGCCAGCCAGGGCAAATAGTTTACAAGACCCTATCTCGAAAACACCCATCACAGTAAAGGGCTGGTGGAATGGCTCAAAGTGTAGGCCCTAAGTTAAAATGCCAGTACTGGGAAAAAACAAAACAAAACAGTAGATAAAATATATTGCACTTTTGGAGAAATTGAAGAGATTAGTTTTCTCATCCAGGATATGCAGGATTTCTGCATTCAGCTTGCCAAAGTGGCCTATGCAGAAACCAATAAACCTGGGAGTTGACAGTGGATTGTCATAAACTTAATCATGTGATGACTTCCATTGAAGCTCATGCTCGAGATTTGGCTTTGTGGCAGGAAAAAGTCAATACATTCCACTGGAAGAGCTATACGAATGTTTTAACTCTGTATCTGTTATTAAACACCATGAGCAGCAGCTAGCGTTCAGCTGGAAAGGTCAGCACAGCAATGCATTGCTCCACCCTACCACAGGTGCACAGCAACTTCAGTATTATGTCATAATCTAACCTTATGGAGACTGATTAACTGTCTGTTCTTGAACATCACATTGTTCCATTTGATTGATGATTGTATACTGAGTAGATCTTGTAAACAAGAAGTAGCAAGGAATCTAGCACATTTGTAAGACACATGTTAGCCAAAGGGTAGAGAATAACTCACAAAAATTAAGGGTTCTGTTACTTTGGTGAAATTTCTAGAGATTTGTTTGTCTGAAAATGTTGAGATATCCCTTCAAAACTGAAATACAAATTACTTCATATGGTCCTTCCTATTATTAAGACAGTGTTACATCTTGTATGAAGCCTCTTTGGATTTTGAGTGATTTATAACACATAATTCTTTGACACATAAAGTGCCAGTTTTGAGTGGTATCCAGAAAAGGAGAAATCTCTGCTTCAAGTCTAGGCTTCTGTGCAGGTGTCTATTCCACAAGGACTGAATGGTCCAGTAGATTAACGCTGCATGGAGTGGTATTGGCAGATAGACATGCTGTATGTAGACTTTTGCAGTTTGCTATATGTGAATCACAGTATGGACAGTTAGGATTTTGAGAAAATCCATGCCATCCTGTATGGATATTGGCCCTTCTTTTAAAAAAATTGCTTTGTGATTATTATTGGATTTGGGTACAGAATGCATGTTTAGCTAAGTTGCCATGACACTTTGGCCTCTCGACATGAATTGGATGATGTCTGATCCACCTAGTTATGCATCTGGGTATACATAGTAGCACTCAATCAATTTTAACAATAAATGGACAAGTAAGTATAGTAGACATGGCCCCAAAAGTTAATGGCATTCTGAAGATGAGAGATCTCGTCACTTAGACCAGAAGAAATGGGGAAATTTAGAAAGGTAGTATATGCCTTTGCCAGTTAGAGTGGCTATTGCAAAGTATCTTGGACTGTGTGGCTTAAATAACAAACATTTATTTCTCATAGTTCCAGAGGCTAAGAAGTTCAACCAAGATTAGATGCTTGGTATCTGGTGAGGGCTTGCTCCTGGCTGGTTCTTTTTCCTTTATGTTTTCATATGGCCTTTCCTTGGTATGTACACTTGGGAGAGAGTCTCTTCTCTATTGATTCTGTCATAAGAGCCCCACCTTCATGGCCTATTTTAACTCTATCTTCTAAAAGGCCCCATCTCCAAATATTATCCCATTGGAGATAGGGCTTCAATATATGAATGGGGGGTCCACAAACAGTCATTCCATGGATCCAGATGAGGTAGATGACTCTCAATTCCAAACTCCAGATAAACTGCAATAGCCAGGGTTATTATCTTTTCTCTTTTAAGTTACCCTAGGGAAAACAAGCTCTGAAACCCTGAAGGAGCGTGATTTATATGAATCAAGTGGCTCTAAGTGATGTAAGAGATGGACTGTAGCAGAGTGAGTGTGAGAAAACAGGTCTCTATCTTAGAACTGACACTCCTACCACCTCGCATTTAATCTTATCCATTTCTGGAAGGAAACTGCACACAATGAATGTTGATGAAGGGAAATAAAGACACTTGTCACTATTTGGGAAAAATTTCAAGGGTCTTTCCAGTTCTAGAGTACTTGTCAGAATCAAAGTTAAAGTGCTGTTGTAAGTGAATCTCAGTGCTTGTATGCCCAGACCTACCTCCTGTAATACCCATAACTGCTGATCTCTGAATAATTCCCCAATAAATCTTCTTTTCACAAATCTGTATCTCAGAGTCTGTATTTAAAGGGATCCCACCTGCCACAGTTGTCAATAGCAAGTGAAAGGCCAAGTGCATGCGTGAGACCAATTAACAAACATGCTTTAGTTTAAGATACCCCAGAAGACCCTACTTTATCTTTTTCATAGTTCTAATTACAGTGTAAAAGAAGGTTCTCTCTAGTGTATAGACTTAGTAAGTTGAATTCCCTCCCTCCCTCCCTGCCTTTCCTCCTTCTTTTCTTCTTTCCTTCCTTCCTTCCTCTCTTTCTTTCATGTGATCTGACTTTAGTCATATGTTCAATTCTAACTGAATCTCTCTTTATGGACAGAATATGGCAATTTTCCAAGCCTTTTATAGAGGCACAGTCTTTATTCACAATAATCAGAGAATCTATATCTTAATTGATTAACTGTAGTTTGGGGGTCCAAGCCTGAAGTTATTTTACCAAAAAGGAATGTGTGTGTGTGTGTGTGTGTGTGTGTGTGTGTGTATGTGTGTGTGTGTGAGGAGGGGGGAATGAATGGTATTATTTCATTCTTGGCATAGAGAAATAATTAAATAATTACTCTCTTCAAGGCAATTTGAATCTGTATCACGCCATATGCTAAAAAAGTATAAGAAGCATCT